TATATGCCTCATATTCTGAAATTCTGATGAAGTATACAAAATTATACTTTTTATGAATACTATAATATCTGGGATTCTGTAACCATTTAAACCAATATGTACCTCTAACAACTATATAACCTTGCTGATATAATAATTTCTTAACAAATATGAATGTTACAAAGATGATCATTGTCATAATTGAACTTTCTTCTCATATATCCAATCATTTCTTACTGAATAATAATGTCCTTCATCCTTATAACAAATATATCCTGATTGTTCTGATTCATTTTTTATACTTAAAAACTTCATATCATCAGGAGTACTATCATTTCTTACTACCTTCTAAACCCATTTTACCAATGACTCAGGTCTTTTCTTATAATTCCTATAAGCTCACTGGATAACCGTTACATAGAAATTCTCAAACTGATAGTTATATTATTTTGTGATTAAGAATCCCCAAGATCGCTTCATAGATCTTCTTCGAAAAATACTTTATTAAAATAGATTAATATATTTTTGAGCAATATTTTCATTATATACTTTTTTAATGCAGTTGGCATAATCATCAGTTTGCAAATCATATTTTTCTTGAGTCAGAGGATTTATTTTCCATTCACTAGTTAAAAGTATACCTAAATATTTCATCCTATCAGAAGTATCATCATTCTCACTATATTCTAAACTCATTTTGCCCAAGTTTCAGGTCTCAACTTGAAAGTTCTTCAAGCCCGTTAGATTATTTTTGCACCATTAAATATATGATATGCAGTCTTTTTCCAAAGTTCATAGTCTGCATCACATCTAATACTATAACCCCAACTATAAATTTACCACAAATCTCATAAATTTTATCTTTATTTAGTTCTGATGCTATTGTTTCTTCTTTTTTCTGAATAGGATTAGAATATGCAAGACACTTTTTGGCTGTTTTAGCAATGCATTCATTCAGATGTTTATTTGCACATTTGATGATATTTTCACGGATAAACACCAAGGAGTTGCATACAATGCAATAAATATTAAATGAGTGTCTCCCAGCTTTAAATTCTCCATTTATATATTCTCTTTCAATCATTTAAATAAATCCATTCCTAGAGAAGTATTTTGGGTTATATTCAAGAAGTTTCTTAAATGGATAACGAACACGAGAATACCACATTTCTGATGTTTTACCACTATACCTATATTGCAGATTGTTTAATACCTGCAAAACTACAGGATTCAAACCATTATAGAAGCTAGTTTTATCCATTTTATGGGTGTAAAGAAGTTTTACTATTTTTATTGATTTATAGTGTTTTTAGTGAATTATAGTTATTTCAGTGAGATATAGCGATTCTTTATCAACTTATATTATGATATTATAGGATTCATTTTTTGTGTTAAAGCGAAGAAAAGTATATAATGATCTGTGTATATTTCATGCAAGTATCATGAGCACGTTACAAGTGAATTGACATTTATTTATATAACAAATTATACTAAATAGCCATGGCATGATTCTAAAAAAATCATTCAAAGTTAGGATTATATGGCCCTTTGGCTCAAATCCATTATTGATAAATGAACATTATCTTTCTCCATGTAATGTACATATGCAAAACAATTATTCTCGTGAATATAGAGCCTTGATTTCACTGAATATAGATTCTTTTGGCATAAAATATGTCTTCTTAATATAGCTAATCTTATGATGTTTAGGTTTTGTGGTTATTGCTCTTGAAAGAAGTATTTTCGCAATGCTATTATCATTATCACAAGACAAATACTTGACTTTACTAATTGCATTTTCCTATTATCAAATAAGTCTTTATAAAGCATTTAATATTGCTAGAAGTACAGAATCATTCAAAATTTAGTTTTCTCATCTTAAAAATATAAAACTTTGAGTGAATTTCTTAATGTATTAATGTTGCATAGTTGTGCAGGAAATCTATACGTTGGACCATCCAAACTAAAGTACAACCCATCAAGTAAATCAATAGCGAAGAATTATCCTTCTAAACCTAACGCAATAATAAATGATATAAGTCATAACCATCATTAATATTTGTTGTTTTAGAAGTTATCTAGTTGTCTTACCGGCTGATTGTATTCCATAACAAGTGGAATTTCGACAGCTTCCTCAGAAAGGTTACGCAAAAGATAAGTATCCAATATGCACTTATTAGTTCTTAGACACTTACTGCGATCTTTGATTATTTTTACTGGAATTGCTTTGTATGCAAATTCTGAATGTAATAACTCTATATCGCCTTTAGCAATCAGTACCCTCAAATATATCTTTTGATTTAAAGTTAATTTAGAAACTGTCTCGCCTCTACGAATATGCAAATTAAATTAGACATTATCAGAAAATAATATTTAAGAAAATCTTTACCATTTAAGATAGACTAAATCATGATCATTCGAAAAAATTATTTCCAATATGGGATTCAAAACTTTCATAATATATTCGATTTCTGTCAAATTCTTTTTTCCTCCTTCCTTATTAATAAAGGTACAAGGATTTTCTAACAGCATATCGATTCTAGTGATGGTTAAATATTTTGAGATTAATAAATCATAAGTGAAAAAATTAATATCAAATAAATGAAAATAAACAAATGAAAATATACAGATAATAATATATTTTTAAAACTTGTCGATGTTTGTCATCAATTAGCCTTTCTTTTAATTTATCTAATAGATAAGCGCGTGCTTCCCAGTAGAGGTATATGGCACATAACTAAATATTTAAGAGTATGGTTTAATGTTATAAGTATCACGTATAACAACAATAAATACGCCTTTTATAAACCTCTTCTGTTTTAATGACATCGGATAAAGTGTCACCTTCTAATTTTTTTACTTCAAAATTTATATTTTCTGAAACTTTCATTTTCAAGTCTTCCCAATTTTTCCCAAACAAAGTACACATTCTTTTATCGAACTCTGATGACAGATCGATTATTGATGAAAGACCAAATCTGAGTATATGTTGTCAATGATAATCCATTTGCATCACTAGATGACTGCGCTAATTAATGTCACCAATGATTACTAGAAAAATCGTGATCATCATTTTCACTGATTTCATTACTATCACGGTGTTAAGCCTAAACACTACGTCGTTAGGATAACAAAGCTTATTTGCTAACAGGGAGTTTAAGTTGTAAACTATGAAA